ATCTTAGGATATCTTTAAGTATAATGATAGTCCTAAAATAACTTTAAGAGTATGATGTTAGAAGAACGATCATATTGAATCGACTCAAACTTGTTTGTTATACTTTAAGATAATATCGTCTGAAATCAAATGTTATAATATGGAGTGTTAACGTGTGTTTTAGTTCTTAGACCATGAGAGTGTTGCAGTCACTTCTTACCATACTATGGACTTTAGGGTTGCTCAAACGTCATCTATAACACGGTGATCATAACGACAACTTGCATGCTCATCGGAAAGTTTGACAAGGGACTAGATAACACGAGAATGGAATTTGCTCCTCCGACGATAGAGATATTCTTAGGGTCCTCTCGGTGTGATGGCATCCATCATCGTCTAGCCAGACACAGGTGACTATGTCATGGGGATGCCGGAACACGTGAACGAGAAAGAAGAATAAAACCGGTAACGAGGAGATCGGTATACCGAGCATGGTGATGACTCAAAAGGATACGAATACATCCCACTTCGGGTTTTGTAAGGTATCGCGAAGCAAAGGGAACATCATATGATAACCAAAGCATGTTCACTTGAATGTCATTCGTGTATTCATGGGGATCGATATGGACATCCATGTTTCCGCTATTGGTCATTGAATGAAGGGGTTTCGTTCATATCTATGTTTTATCGAACTTACAGGGTCACAAGTTTAAGGTAATCGCGATCTGCTGAGTATTAGTAGGACAGGAGTATTGATGATTTATTTGTGGATTTTTTAATTAATATTTGGATTTGTTCCGAGCGGAGCAGAAAACAAGGGTTTCGGAGTTTATCGCGCAATACTGGGTACTATCAATAAATAATACTAAGGAATGTGACCGTGCGTTGCAACGGGAGAAACAAATGATTGCACGTCCCTAGCGACCCATCTGTGTTGTCACTTATAATTTTGCTACTTTCTCCGATCATGGACAAGTTATCCATATATTCAAGGATGCTGGGCGCCCCCTATCTCATTTACACTTGATGCATGTATCATTCCCACACTCCGCGAGCTTCACCGAGGAGCAAACACCAATTGTCTTGAAGTAATATGTACAATGTCGATGTAACTTTTAAGCAGTGAAGCAAATCAAGGCTCTCATGTGACTGGATGATGGACCTTGTTAAGATTCGCCGTAGTAAAAAATGTGCTAGCCATGGTAAGACTTCGGTAGGTAAACAATTCATTGCCTATTGGTTGCAAATTTTTGAATGTTCGTTTGGAAATTAGGAAATATATACAAAACACTTTTAATAATGTGACCAGTTAAGGAAATTCGAATTTCCATGCAAAAATGTAACTTTTGTGAGCCACAAATAAGATCTGGACGCAACATAAGGTATACGATTGACAAAGCGAGCGAGTTGGGGTTTCTTATAGCAGAGAAGCCTTCCGTATTCATCCATGATGCTGACCTCTATCTTGATGGTGTCAGCGCAAATGGGCCTAGCCCCGGAAAGAGTTGAAATAGGTGTCCGTCTCTAGCTCCTGCACCACGTTCTTCATGACGTCCAACGTGATGGAGCCTGTCCTGAGACACCCGCATTTTTCTATCCAAAAATCGAATCCGTAGGTAAAATACCTACAAATCATATGCATAGTGTCATTTTTTTGCTCGAGTGGTCTAAGAATTAACACATAATTCTTCCTCGCAAAAATACACATAATTCTAAATTCTTACGAACAAATTCATCACTTAATATGAATTAATTTTATATTTACTTATTTATTTGCCTGCATGTTTCCTCCCATTAATTATTAACTAATTCTAATTTCCATCAATTAGAGATGTCTCCTTCCTATTTTTATCTTTTTTTTAGAAAAGGAGGATGACCTCGGCCTCTGCATCTGGGAGATGCATACGGCCACTTTATTAATTATTCTCGAGGACCTTACAAAGTGTTACAACAATAAGCCTGAATCCACCATCTAGGCAATATATGCCGCTACTCCTATCCATAAGATGAAGGGGTGCTAGTTGGGCCACTACCCAGACCACTCACCTAATCCTAACATCGAAAGCCGGAATACCAAGCCTAGCCACATACCGGGTTTGAGGCATAAACCGGTCTGACGCACTCACATGTGTCGTCTCCACCATCTTCCACTGGTCCATCTCCAAGAAGATTGAGGTGCCAACCTTGGCAGGCTCCTCCGCCATCAACGCCACCCTGATGCCAAATGACGACCACCACCTACGCTAGAACATCTCCAAGCAAACAAGAAAATAAGGAAAGCCCAAAAGATACAAGGGGGCACTCTGAACTTACAACACATCGGAGAGCTAGTTACAAGAGGAACTAAGAAAGGGCACTGCTAGCATAAACCGATGACCGCAACCCTCAGGCGCCAAAGACACAGGAGGAATGCCGTGGGACAAACACCAAGCCGGCCACACCATCACGCGCCAAGAACGTCTGAAGGCTGCAGGAAAGCCGCCGAGCAACAACAGAGAGGCGGACAACGGGACAGCGAGAGGCACTGCACCTGCTGCCGGCCGAAAACCCCACCTTCAGCAACCCTATGCCCGAAACCACACTCCCCAGACAACGCCTCCATGGAGGGAACGACACACACGGCGCCGCCGCTGCCCAATCCTGCCGGATTTTGGGTTTTCACCCGGGATAAGGAACGGAGGTGGGGAGAAGGAGACCACGACATCGCCTCCAAGAAAGAAACGTCGCCCAAGGCCGACATCGATGCCGGGCCGAACCAGCCGGCCAGGGGTTTCCCCCGGTCCCGATCTGCAACACCAGCCCCAAACTCCACCGGATCCAGCGACCAGCCGCGGGAAACCAAGCGCAGAGGGGGAGGGAGCGAATTGGGGGCGGCAAACCTTCAGATCTGGCGAGGAAGAGGAGGCCTCCACGCTGTAGCCACCGGTCGCCGACGCCCCACCGCCCACACAGTCGAAGACGCCGGCCAGAGCCCTCCGCGAGCGCCGTTCAGGGCAAGAACGGCGACGCCACGCCGGTAGGGGCCGCCGCCCCTGGGATCCAGATCCTCCGCTGCAGGAGTGACGAGGGCCTCGCCGCCACCGTCACTGGCGGCCGCGCGGGCTTGCCCGGCGACCACCTCAGATGACGACGAGGAGGGAGAGGAGGGGTGGGGGAGGCGGCGCTCGGAAACCCTAGCCGCCGCCCGAGTCGCCCAGTCAGGCGACGCGGGGGCCGTCCCTTCTTTTTATTTTTTGACATGCCTTTTTTCCTTCTTTATTTTCATCGCTTTCCCTTTTTCTATGTTTCTTTCCTTATATAAGTGGGACTCTTATTTGGTTCTCTCTCCAAAGATCATGGCGTCTCCTTCCTTTCATTCCTTATTCTTTTGAAATGCCATATTCCTTCTTGTTTTTCTCTCTTTCCTTCTTTATATTACGCGTCTCTTTTCTTTCCTTCGTTTATTTTCATGTATTTCCTTCCTTTATCTCTCTTTCCTTTTTTATATTACTGGGTAGCTTATTTCCTTCTTTATTGATTCCCGAGATCGCTCCTTGAAACCGAGAAAACTCAAAGACATATATAAATTAGGGGGATTTGGTGTAAGAAAGCGAGGCAGGACTATTTAAAAGGTTGTTTGATGTCACAGTGTATAATAGAGCAATAGCCGGGTCAGTTGGTCCCGACGTTGATTATTGTACAAGAGGTTTGAGTTCGAACTTTTTTTTGGGCCGTGGCATGTTCGCTGGTGAGGCTTCGTTTTGGCTGCGTGGGCCGTGCGCCTCCCAGCGGGCTTAATTTTTTTTCATTTATTTGGACTGCGAATTGGTTTACGATTAGTACCACCTCGTGTATCTTTAATATGAGATACATCAAAAGTTGTGGTGAACGGATGAAAAAATTGGTGAAACGCACCTTGCTTTATTAGTAGGTATAGATATAGATACAGATATAGGTATAGATATAGGTGAACATGTTTCCGGTGATTTTAAATTACTAATAAAAGGCTCTAGTAATTGTTAAGAGGCTTTTGTACTAAATTTAATACCAACTATCCATAGAAGACCAAGTGGTGGAGGGAGAATTGGGCGACTAAGGCCCATGTAGGGGAGGCGCCCCCTTTCCCACTTTGGGGGTCGACTTGGGGAGGGGGAAGGACTCCTCCTTCCCACCTTGGCCGGTGCAAAGGGAGGGTAGTCCTTCCCCTCCTTGTGGCGCCCCTCCTCCCCTCCAACCTATGTATACTAGAGGATCTAGGCACTTTTGAACACACAAGTTTTGGAGCCTCCTCTAGTTCTCTAGTTCTAGTTCTAGTTGGTCCTACCTGATCAATTAGAGCTAGACCTAGATCCTCTAATCCTCATAATTAGAAGCCAGTGTGGTTCTAATTTCATCTCTCCAGTTCTTTGATGACGATTAGCTCTGGACGGCGAAGCGCTGACTGGTCGTGGAGACTGTACGCTTGCAACTCGTAGAGAGGTCATGTTGTCGGTCTTCCGTTTCAGGGATTGTTCATGAGTAGTTCGCGGGATCATTCATATACGGTTTAAGGGACTCCAAGTACGATATACACCGACTCATCTACTTCCGCTGCAGCTCGGAGTCGGTAATGAACTGATCCAAACTGTTCATTGCATCTTCATAGTGGTCCTGGTTGATCGTAGGGCGATTTTTTTACTACGTTTCCCAACACTATTTCTGAAGCAACTTAATCGAATCAAACCATGTTTAGCACTATCCATAACTGTACTGATTTTCTACACTGCCATGCAAAATGTGCTTTAGTTATGCAACAAAAAAGTTATAACATTTATTGCATGAACATAATTAAAGTAAGGTACAAAAATTAAAAGAAAAGGAGAATCGAAGGTATGGAAAAGCAATTGATTGTTTAATCCATCTAGCTCGGACCTCTCTTTTTATACTCTTTAGGGTACATAATCTCACATTTGGAACACCACTTGACTGTACACATTATACAACATTTGTGTTGCTGTGAATATTACCATGGACAGTTTAAAAACATGCCACGAGGAATAAAACTATCTAGGAACTTTCGCAGACATGGGCATATCTTTATTATTGCATGGCTCAAGAGCTGTGGACGCCTCTTCATTTCCCACCCTTACATTGATATATGCTGGCTGCTTAGGCTCAGCCAAGATCATAGTCTCATTGCTTAGCATTGAAACAATATCTCCCATGGTTGGCCTATCAGTTGCATTCTCTTGTACACACAATAATGCTATGTTAATGCATCTCATCACCTTTGCCGAGTGACTTCCGGGTAGCAATGGTGCATCAACGAGATCAGCCCACTTTCCATCTTCCCATAATTGCCATGCCTATTTGCAATTCCTTACACAAGTAAGTTTGTATAGCATATCAAAAAGACACATTTTCAAGCTTAAATTTGTGTGTATAAGCTCACATATCCGAGAAGATTGATGAAGCCTCCATAGTGTTCGTAACTAGAATTCTGTTTTCCGCTAAGGATCTCCAAAATGACAACACCAAAGCTGAAGACATCGGATTTAGTTGAGAAGATGCCCTTTGAAGCATACTCTGGGGACATGTAGCCACTAAAATGGTACATATATGATACATGTCAAGATTACTTTATTTGGTCGAATGGTAACATATATAATTGCAATCCATATTTTCTATGAAAATTACCATGTGCCAACCACTCTTCTTGTGGTATTTCCTTCAGTGTCATTTGAGCTCAGTATTTTTGCTAGCCCGAAATCCGAAATTTTTGGATTCATTTCGTAGTCCAAGAGAATATTGCTTGGTTTAAGATCTCGGTGTATGACAAGTAGACGAGAGTGCTTATGTAGGTAAAGAAGTCCATGTGCTACTCCTTCAATTATTGCTACATGTTTTGACCAAACCATTAAAGATCTTTTATTCTCATCTGCAAATCAATTCGAAATTAGTATAACAGGAGAAAGCAGCCAAACAAATGAAAATATATTGTAAAACTGAGTTACTAAGTGAATGAAACTATACTCACATGATTGACTAAAACAAAAGTCTCAAGTAATATATAGTCATTATGATGCATCGATAGACAATAATTAAAGTAAAAATTAAGAAATTCAAAAGCATACCAAAGATGAAGAAATCCAGACTTCTGTTTGGCAAGTATTCATAAACCAGTATGTTCTCCTCTTCTTGAGGGCAACATCCCAAGAGCCTAACCAAATTTGTGTGCTGGAGTTTGGCTATGAGTTGGACTTCATTTTTGAACTCCATGAAACCTTGTCCAGAATGTGAAGACAGTCTCTTGACTGCTATCTCCAATCCCTCCGGAAGTTTGCCCTGGAGAAGAAATCTATTAGTCCTCCCCTCCAATTTAAAGTCAGTCCTTCAAGACCGTCAAACATGCCCTTCCTGCCTTTTGAGCCAAACTTTGAGCATCATTTTAACTAAGAAAATATGAGTAATACATGTTAAAAATTATACAACTCAATTTGCATTGGAAAGATGTTTATAATGGGCAGCTGCTCGGGCTCTGCCTTGGAGTCGCCATTAATGACACAAGAAGAAATCAGAAAGTGAGTAGCATTTTACATATGATAGCCAGATTTGATAGGGATGCCACTCATTTGGCTTGAGGGAAACAAAGGATAGAGATAGCCAAATATATGAGAATATTCCACAACGACTGGCTGACAGGAGTAAAAAATGGCGGATGAAAGCAACCACTTGCTCGAACGTGTGATTCTCCTGCCTCGGATCATTTTTTATCCCATGTGACCTTGTCTCTCACCTCTTTCTCTCTCAAACTCACCAATCGCAATGTAAAAAACCCTAACCCAATTCGGTGTCTCACCTCTCTGGCGTTGGCGTGATATCGGGCGGCGGCAGCGTGACGCAGCTACCCGGCCTCCTCTCTCTCTCTCTCTCGCATGATGTCCTATCTTCTACTCACTTCATTTCAATCAATAAGGCGCCCACATGTTATACATTAGAGTTCCTATTGAAAAGTTAAATTTTAAGAAGTTTTCAATGGTATAGTTTAGAAGTCATAAATATATATTATTGATCTAATTTACATATGGTCAAAGTTGAATTTTGAAAAGCGTTCACGCCTTATTCATTAGAACAGAGGGAGTGTGTATGTCACGGTGGTGGCGGGACTAACGGCGTGGATTGATGTGCGGTGGCGGTGGGAAACGATAGTAGTGGTGCCGAGCTGCCAAGAGGCTCCCTCTGCGGTTTGTGGTTGTGAAGGGGAGGCGGATTAACGGGGACGACTCAAGGATAAGTGTTTCAACTTACTTTCCTTTGGATCTGATTGTCATCATGCACTAGGAATCCGGGAGGGCGCACGACATGTATGTGCTGGAGCTCGACACTGTGCTGCTCTATGTTGTGCCCACTCGTGGTGCACCTGCCCTTTGGTCACTGATGCGGGAGGGACTACTAGATTGATTCTAGCTCGATGGCCATGTGTACTATATTTTAGATTGCATAGTTGTTGGTTTAGCAATGTGCAGTCAGACTGAAAAGTTACAGAATATTTTCTATGTGGCTAAAAATATGACTAGATACGCACTTTTTCTTGCGGGTGACGGCATATGGCTTAATCGATTAGAATTATATACTTCTCATGCTACTTGTGGCCGCAAGCAATAGATATGTGATGATTTTGAGTTACTAAAGTGTTAATACTATTATCCCTAACCACTTCTCATCCTGCCCACCGTACAAGGAAAAATGGCTATCCAATCCATTCATTCCTAGCCAACCAAACAATCAAAATGGCTATCCCTCAGCATGTGGATGGGAATATCCTCAACCTATCCAACCTTGCCCTTGAATCAAACGCTACCCAACTGGATGCCTTTGTTGCTCGCCCAGGCTCTATGAGTGAGCTAGCTTCCACTGTTTTAATGGTATATGTTTTACAAAGCATAACTCATATTTTCTTAATTAAATTAGTGGTCAGAATTTGAAGGGGCATATACACCGTTCCATATGGAATATCAGCAAGGTTGAAAGAACATAGACAGACTCGTTCTATACAACAGAAGCACTCTCCCATATTAGAATTTGTGCAAAAATAACTATCGGAAAGTACCGAGCACTCCTCCCGTATTAGGTTGCTAAATATTCACTCCGTTTCAAATTAATTGAACTTCTAGCTTTGTCCTAGAACTTCAAGTTGTCTTTGTCAAACTTCTTTAACTTTGACCAAGTCTATTGAAAAACTAGAGAATGTCTGCACATTTATGTGGAAATTGGTTGATGAAAATTTGGGTTGATAACATAAGAAGCAAAATTAAAAATACATGACTTGTTATATTTGATTATGTATAGTTCTAAATATTTATTGAATATAAGTAAAATAATGAAATGCAAAATATTTTCCCATGCATGGTTCAATGTTGTGGTGTGTTTTTCCCCGTGCATGATTTGCATGTTGAGTTGGGTCTTATCCTTTCAACATTTTATGATGAGGTGGCATGCTTGCATGTTAAAATAAGTAAGTTAGTGAGGATGGTTCCCTTAGGTATATAGAATATATAGAATTTGTCAATATCTACAACATCAAGTTAGTTTCATCCAATACATCATAAAATATATTCGTATATAATATATATTGATGTGGTAAATATTCTATTAGTACTCATGTGACTATTATCTGTAGACTTGGTCAAAATTACAGAAATTTGACTTCGTCAAACTTAGAACTTCCATTAATTTTGAACAGATGGCCTAGCAATTTACCTTGTAGACAGCGCCAAAGCCACCTTGTCCAAGTTTGTTTTCTTCTGAAAAACTGTTTGTGGCCTCCACTAGCTGGTGAAAGTCAAACAAAGAGAACTCCGAATTTTTCCCTTGCCAAACTAGATCTCCCTTTAAATTCCAATCACGTCTTGATCCTTGTGTAGCATTAGTAGCATCAAATATCAAACTCATAACATCATTACCACTAATTGTAATTGCAAAGAATATGATGTTCATCGTTCTGGCAGATAGTTAGCATACCTTTTCTTTGGCTTCTGAGCCGACGAGAGTAACAGATGAATAATAGAAATGCTGCTGCCGAAAGAGGAACTACAACTGCGAGAATTGCCCACAACATGCTCCTGTTTTTGGTCACCAGCGCCGGTGGCGGCATTGGCACAGTCAGCATGGGTTGGGCGCCGTAGAACCGATAAGCCTCGTACCTGAAATAGCACCGCGTGATACCCATCTGTCCACCCGTGCGCAGGGACATGCTGGAGTTGACCATCCCGAGGAGACGGCGGAGGCACGCCAAGCAGTCATCGGCGGACACGTCCGGCGTGCACTGCGCCTGGGAGTACACCTTCGGGTAGGTCGTCACTCTGTCCATGTCTATGACGCCAGTGGCGTACCGGCTCGGCGTGGTGCTGGCCGCCTTCTCTGCTGTCTCGACCAGCAACTTGCGGGTGAGGCCGACGATGAGCGGAACGTCGCCGGTGGTGACGTTCGTGATGTTCCACTGCTCGAAGGGCTCCGTGTTCTCACCGGATCCTCCCGTGGCATTTGAGGGCGGCCCTAGGATGTCGTCGCCGTCGCTGTAGACGACAATACAGTCGCCGAGGCTGGAGCGGAATTTGTGGCACTCCGTCTGGTTTACTGTAGCGAACCAGTTAGCGATGCAGTCACCACAGGCGGAGCCGTCGACGACGTCACCGGCGCGGCAGAGCGCGAGCGCGTAGACGATGTCGGGGGGCTGGCCAAAGGTGGCGGTGGCGAAGTTTACCGGGGAGGAGGAGACGTTCTTGGAGAGGGCGGCGGCGGCTGCCTTGACGTTGTCGCAGAAATTGGCGGCCACCAGAAAGGGTGTGGGTGTGAGTAGGAGGAGCAGGAGGACGACGCCGATGGTCGCCATGGCAAGCTAACAAGAGTACACGACTAGCAAGCTACAACAGGTTCTTGTTTCTCTTTTGCCGGCCAGATGATAAAATAGAGTGAGGTTCTGTATCAGCAGAAATCACTATCGGTCACATGGAAAAAGGACAGTGGAACCTTTTTTCAACTGATTTCGCACGGGTCAATGCTAATTACTTTGAAGCAATCAACACACCAACCAGACTTAATTTAGTTCTTGAATCATTCACTTGGTCTTGAGCAGGTCAAGCCGCCTAGCGAGGATAGAAAAGCGCAGTTTTGTTTTCTTCCTATTTTCATTCCAGGAAAAAATAGTACTCGTACTTTGACAAATTGTTCCATCTTGTGTGGATAAATCTGACTCACTACTTCTGTTTTCACTTGGAAAAAAGAACACTGGAAGTGTACATTGCACTTGGACCATTCTTCAGTTGATTTCCCACCACCACCGCCTGTCATATCAGTTGCTTTCAGTTCTTCTCACTAGCAAAAAAAAAAAACATGTAGTATTACCTTAATTTAATTAGTTTGAAACGATCAAGGCACCAATCACGCTGAATTTCGAGAAATGTAGGTTCCACTTGCTCGCCGGCTTGCTAGAATAGATATCCTATCTTTTCGTTCAAGAGAAAACATGCACTAGATCGGTATCAGTTCTTCATTTTAACCTTTTGCTATCTGGCCCACACAAATTTGTTGATATGTCCTTTCGGAACTACCTATGTTTCTTTATTATCTTGCATGCATGTTGCCACTGCTTTAGCTTAATTATTTATATAGAGAAAATAATTGAGACAAAGTATTGAACCCACATTTTTATGGTTTTCAGTTGGACGAAATAATATAAAATAGTACGTACTGCAAGCCAGATAGCCTCTGAATTGGACCAAGCCCTATGTGGTAAGATCATATCGTGAATTTTACTGCCTAGAACCATATAACACGTCCAAACAATTTTTAGATCGGAAATTCACAGAAACGTATGGTGGAATCGTGATTTTGATGGCCTTGATTGCAGGGCACAAAGAAGGCCCACATGTCAATCATGCAAACTCATGTGAGTTAAGTTAGGGGATATGTGCCTGATTGCAAGTGATGAGGCGCTCTACCTCTCTAAATATACATATAAAATGTGTTTGGTTGTTTGCTTTGTTTTTTGCCATTTTGCATACTTGTCTCAGTTGTGCCTGGCTGAGGAAAAAGGGGCAAAAAACCACCATCTACACTTTGTTTGGCTGCCGGTATACCCTCTAGCCTGAATGCAACGAAATGGAAGGCGAGTTGTTTGGTTGTGGGCTTGCTTAGGCGGAAACACAAGTTAGGTTGTTTGGTTACATGCAACACAAGTCACACTATGTTGTCTGGTAACCTCCTCATGGAGGTGGTGAGATTACTAGAGCACAAGCAGACAGAACAAATGATAGCATAGGAACAAGTTAAACATAAAATGAAACTTAAACAAGTAGTCTTAAACCAAACTGGCACGACATAGTCTTAAACCAAACAAGACACGACGTAATCTTAAACCAAACCAACATGCGCAATCAGGCAACAGAGAGCTCTTTAGGTGTTCACGACGAAGTCGTTGTCATGCTTCTTGCAATTGGTGAATACCTCAACGCCGTCATCTTTGAGATGGTCACCTTCAGGGTTTTGGGAGTTAGCAGCTTGAAGGTGACCATGTAGCCTATCCTGATCTAGTGAATAGCAGCGAAGGGGGCCTAACCCCGATCAAGGGTGACACTGTCGTTGATCACCCTGACCGTCACCCTCCATGCACAACCGGTGCTTGTCTTCACCGTGGCCATCACTGCATAAGAAGGCACTCCAGCTTCGCGACAAGGATCACCTTACAAAAGTGGGTTGTTCCTGCCTCGTCATGGTAGTGGTTGTAGTTCCTCCGCTTGCCACTTGGGGGGCTCCCCCACCACCACATCGTCTGAGGGTGGCACCACCTCCTTGCTCTTGTCTCCGGGCGCCACCACCTCCTTGCCCTTAGTGTTCTCCATCTTAATCTGCATTATGAACAATACAAAGTTCAAAGGATGATGAACATTCATTCCTATCGTCCGAAGCCCACCCAATGGCCTTGCTACTTACCCACCACCACACTCAATTAACCCTCTCTGTCTCTCACTTTCACTCTTCTTCCACATCTTTGTTGCACCATCTCTCCATCGCCCAACCCCTTCTTAGATGGAGGGCTTTCTTCCACAGCTACTCGCTCGGTGACCGCACCAAGTTCAAGAACACCAAGGAAGTGTGCTCTAACTTCACAAGCATCGAAGACATGCATAAGAAGGCAAAGGTTGTGGTTTCGAATGCGACAGGGGGGAGTTGACGACATTGATTCCTGACCTAGTGAAAGGTGCAACGTCACTGGACATATTGCGTTGTGCCATGAATCAGGCGGAGTACAATAGTGGTTGTTAGAGAGACAAATGGGCCAAGTACAGCGGGTACATAACTCATCAAGACCAGCCGGCGGCCATGCTGGCGCCGGAGGACGACCATGATACGGTGCAGATGGTGGTCACGGTGCCTCCGTCAGGCGGCCATGCAGGACCCATTGTTCTGGACTAATATGATGAGGAGGAGATTGTGGATGATGCGATGGAGGCGGTGGTGGAACACAACAAGAAGGCTACAACCCCTCGCCGCTCTAAGTGCCTACAAGGTTGCCGCGGCTAGGATAGTTGCTTGCAAGGTATATTTACCCCCATTCCCCAACCCCGCTGTACTAAAAATCATGGTATGAATTGATACGTCTCCAACGTATCTATAATTTTTTATTGTTCCATGCTATTATATTATCTTTTTTGAATGTTTTATATGCAATAATATATGCTATTTTATATTATTTTTGGGACTAACTTATTAACCTAGAGCCCAGTGCTAGTTTCTGCTTTTCTTATTTTTGAGTTTTACAGAAAAGTAATATCAAACAGAGTCCAAACGGAACAAAACTTTCGCGATGATTTTTCTTGGACCAGAAGACACCTAGAAAACTTGGAGAGGAGGCCAGAAGATCCCCGAGGAGGCCACAAGCCTTAGGGGCGCGCCCTAGGGGGGCGCCCTAAGGGCTTGTGGGCCCCTCGGAGGTCCCCTAACCCTAATTCCAGCACTATAAATTCGCAAATATTCCCAGATGACCGAAAGCGTCCACCAAAATACTTTTCCGCCGCCGTAAACTTCTGTACCCATGAGATCCCATCTTGGGACCTTTTCCGACACCCTGTCGGAGGGGGATTCGATCATGGAGGGCTTCTACATCAACTCTATTGCCCTTCCGATGAAGCGTGAGTAGTTTACCACAGACCTATGGGTCCATAGCTAGTAGCTTGATGGCTTCTTCTCTCTCTTTCATCTTCAATACAATGTTCTCCTCGATGTTATTCAAGATCTATACGATGTAATATTCTTTTGCGGTGTGTTTGTGGAGATACGATGAATTGTGGATTTATGATTAGATTATCTATGAATATTATTTGAATCTTCTCTGAGTTCTTATATGCATGATTTGATATCTTTGTATTTCTCTTCAAATTATCGGTTTGAATTGGCGAACTAGATTGGTTCAATCTTGCAGTGTCCTCACCCAGTGACATAGTAGGGGTAGCGAGGCACGTATTGTATTGTTGCCATCAAGGGTAAAAAGATGGGGTTTTCATCATATTTCTTGAATTTATCCGTCTACATCATGTCATCTTACTTAAAGTGTTGCTCTGTTCTTATGAACTTAATACTCTAGATGCAGGCAGGAGTCGGTCGATGTGTAGAGTAATAGTAGTAGATACATTATCATTTCGGTCTACTTGACACGGACGTGATGCCTATATTCATAATCATTGCCTTGGATATTGTCATAACTTTGCGCTTTTCAATCAATTGCCCGACAGTAATTTGTTCGCCCACCGTATGCTTTCTTTCAAGAGAGAAGCCCCTAGTGAAACATATGGCCCCGGGTCTATTTTCCATCGTATATTTTTAGACCTATAAACCAAAAAACCCCAAAATAACTTGCTGCACTTTATTTGTTTTTACTTTGTTTTACATTTTAGTAATACTTTATATCAATCTCTATCAGATCTCATCCTTGCAAGTGACTGTGAAGCGATTGACAACCCTTTTATCACGTTGGGTGCAATTGTTTGATTGTTTGTGCAGGTGCATAGATTGGAGACTTCCGTGTACCTCCTACCGGATTGATACCTTGGTTCTCAAATTGAGGGAAATACTTATCTATACTTTGCTGCATCACCCTTTCATCTTCAAGGGAAAAACCAATGCAAGCTCAAGAAGTAGCTGGAAGAATTTTTGGCGCCGTTGTCGGGGTGGTTCTACATCCAGCCTACTAAGTACCCACCATAAACTCTCATATCTTGCATTACATTATTTGTCATTTGCCTCTCGTTTTCCTCTCCCCCACTTCTAAAACGTTTTCAGAAAAACACAAAAGGATTGGCCTTTTTAGTCGCCCTTCTTTCGCTCGTCTTTTCGTTTGCTTTTTGGTTGCTTGTGTGCTAGATTGTTTGTTTTGTCATGATGTCTCAAGAAAATACCGACTTTTCCAATACTAATAATAATGATTTTATTAGTACTCCGATTGCTCCCGCCACTAGTGCGGAATCCTATGAAATTAATGCCGCTTTGTTGAACCTTGTTATGAAAGATTAATTTTCCAGCCTTCCTAGTGAAGATGCCGCATTCCATCTAAATACTTTCGTTGAGTTGTGTGATATGCAAAAGAAAAAAGATGCGGATAATGATATTGTTAACTTGAAGAGATTTCCGTTCTCTCTACGAGATCGTGCTAAAACTTGGTTTTCATCTTAGCATAAAAATAGTATTGATTAATGGAATAAGTGTAAAGATGCTTTTATTTTCAAGTATTTTCCTCCCACTAAAATCATCTGCTTGAGGAACGATATAATGAATTTTAAGCTACTTGATCATGAACATGTTGCACAATCTTGGGAGAGGATGAAATTGATGATAAGA